GCATCGACTTGAAATTTTATTTTATACATGCTTCCACTTATCACCGTAATTTTGCTTCCACCTCCTCTCAATTATTTTCAATTTAAGCCCCTCTGACTTCATTTGAGGCTTTTATCGCCACCGCATGCCCCTGAATTGACGCAAGGCCCAGTAGAGAACTGCATCGCCTAATTTGAGGATCTATTATTTAAACAGTTACATTTGAAAACGCATAACAGTTTTAATTCAGCAACCGTTTTCTTGAGGAATAATACATAATAAAGAACATTCGGATTTCTCAGGATAAACCTAATGGATCTGGCATCATCTGAACACCGGTATTTTCAATTATGTTTTTTTCCCAAAGTTGCCAGAAAGGAAGAGTTGACTTAAGAAAGACAGTTTTAAAGAAAATCAGTAATTTGTGATTATGTCATATTTCAGTCAATTTTTTTGAATATGCAATATCCGATCTCCGTGAGTAATATTTTACGCAATTTAACTCTTAGGAATAATTACTAATCTTCTCGAGTTTAAGTGTTCTTTTTCATGATTTGACGCTTATGTTTCTATCACGTATTTTTACTTTCTCGCATACTACTTACGTAGTACAGATACAGTATTTTAATGCTAAGGCAAAAAGCAGCAATTTTTCAGTAGAAAACTCGTATAATGGACCCTAGACCGAAAAAATGGATAAGTCTTATTCAAATAGTAAATTACTTCCTCTATCACGGTCAGAATACACTTGTGTGTGCTCTTGACAAAATTTTGTTTACGACGAAGCGTCCGTCCGTCTATGAAAAACAGCCAGCAGGCAGGCAGAAAAAGGCCTTAGGCTAGATTTTCAGCAAAATCGATGAAAACACATAAATAAGTGAATTGCGATCATTGTATAATTCCAATCCACTAACCCACCGCAGCTAAACTCTTTAACTCGCTCAATCTTAGTTTATCCCGAACGTCGAATAAAATAACATTTCTACCTTTTAATCCAAAATACTTAGTTCACCTTTAATACTTCCTGGTTTAATTACTTTTAGCTTCTGTCCCCCTTTTCGTCTCTTCAGCTGGTCCTACCCTTATTTTTCCTCTCTTCAGTAGCTACACATAAAAATATGACTGTAATATCTCTAAATTATTTTCTGAAGATCAGTTCAGTAGATTTTGTAGAGCGCAGGATCTTCATAATTTTTATGTTGATATTGATACATATTGTATCTGCAACAAATACTTTGATAACCGTACTAAGGAAGTTGCATAAATCGTCGAGTCTTTAAAAAGCTATTGGCATGCCTGCAGTGCTTGAAAACAATAGAGCGTTCCATTGCGGCTTTAAATATGGGTGCAATACTTATGTAATGCCTGTATCATCATTACATACAGTGCTATTATCTTCCACAACAATGCAATCTTTTTCATCGTTATTAGTTTCCTTATATTTTATACTGAGAAAGTGTGTCAATTTGGTGGAAATGCAAATATGTTTTTAAAACCAAATCCTTTATCCCAGAATGTGACTTTTGAAACTTAATTCATAAATGGATACAAAAGTTGAAAGAAAATATCGAACTAACTTTCGTTTGCAAGCTTATAAGGAGAATTCTTTCATTTCCTTAAAATGTTTTTTTGTCGGTGAATAACATATCACCTACATTTACAACCTATAGTTTGATTGTCAACACTGGAAAATATGGAAACTTTCTCTCAGAAATTCTATATTAAATTCACTTTCGGTGCCTTCGCTATTAGAATGCCGTTGGGAATAAAAATATCGATGTCATTAAAAGCCGCTCATCATTTAAATTTAAAAATCGTTGAAATAAAAAGGTTAGTGAAGACGTTATGACTATGCATGAATTTCAAGGCCAACTCCCCACCAGTAGAATAGTGTTCACTCATTCAGCGTATAAAGATATTAGTACGATGATATTATAGTACATGATATTATAGAAGAAGATGCAGCGCATACTTTGCTGGGTGAAATTTTCAGAGAGCTGTAGGAGAACAATGGATGAATCTACTCTGGGCTCACTTAGAATGAGCAGGGGCGAAAAAAAAACAACAAACTTTTATATGTTACATTTGTGACACTAGAATACGTAGACTACGAGCAAGAGACATACAAGACACTTTCTTGTGTATAAGATGTTAAACTAGTAGTTTTGTTAAAATATACTGAGTTCAATCCATTCCAGATTTTTCCATTTATTTTTACCCCATTTCTTAAAACGTTTGCTGAGGCTCACATTAGGAAATCTGTTTTAGAAATCCACAAAATGTAATGTTTACGAATAAAAATAACTTATTCTTAAACGACTTTGACAATAACAAGTAGAATATAACATTGTATAAGTAAGTACGGTATGCATTGTCTATATTTTGATTTAATTGTACAGAAATTTTGAATTAAAAGTAGGCGAAAACGAAATGGAGCACCGAGTTTGGGTACTTTCCTCTACAAATATTAGTGTCACATACCATTGTAGACAACTCCCTTTTACATAATATTTATCAATATAAATATTGGTAAATAATAAACCTCCAAATACTATTGATAATGAGTATTTTCATAACAATATGCTAATGACGCACCGAACTTCATCTATCATTTGCATGGGACTCATCATAATTTTAGCCAAATATCAAGAAAAGGAAAAAGAAGGAAAAACAGCTCATCATTAAGAAATAGTACGCAAATAGCTCGTATTAATGTAGAGTATCGCTAAGCATATAGCAAGGACACTACTAAACGTAGCTTCCTCGAGGTTGTACTTCCAATTGCAAGAAGCTTAAATTAAATTAATAAAAACAACACACTTTGACATCCTCTCTTGGACCAACTTCTTAACTTCCCGTTCTTCTTTTTCTTCTTCAATGAAGTATTATCGTTTCTAACTTTCCGTTGCACTTTAGTCTGAATTAACCAATCTTTTTTCCTTCCAATCCTTTTACCCAATCTTTTTTCAGATAATGTATTGGTCGAAATTAAAATACATTGAAAGATGCATTTATATGTACATTCTCAAAGTTAAACGCGACAAATTTCATGCAGTTAGCTGAAAGCAATACGAATCGGCAGCATTCAGATCAATCCAGATCTTTTGACGAGAATCATTGCTTCAAAATAGTAGTGCACACATTTCCAAACTCTGAATTCAAAGTCCTGCTGGCTCTAAGAGAAGCCTGTTACACACTCATGCTGGTATGTGTCATGCATGATGCACGCAATTCCGAAAGGCTTCTCCCGGGTCCCATTCCTGTCCTCAATCCCTCCCGTCCGGTTGGCGTGACACGTAACGCCTGGCGCCTTGCACTAGTGCTTCCAACAAGCCCGCCCTCCCGCCCCCAGCCACGCCACCGGCACGGCGGTCCCGCGACGGCGTTCCTCCACCTCCACCACTGCAGTTCCACGAGAGCTCCCCCTCCCTGTCCTGCCCCCGCTTGCTCCCACCGCGCCCAACCTCCCCACGTTCCCACGCCGCGAACCTTTGACGAAGCGGCGGGCGGCGGCGGCGCTCCGCTCCTCCGACTCACGTTGACTGCGCGGCCCCTCGCGCAAGAGCTCGCGCGGGCTGGGGGACGGGGGACACGGGCGCGGGGACAGGCGGACAGGCAGGGCAGGCAGGCAGGCAGGCCAGGCATGCATGGGGACCGATAGGTAGGTAGGCAGGCATTGGGGACGATAGGTAGGGCAGGCAGGCATGGGGACCGGATTAAGCAGGCAGGCAGGCAGGGCAGCAGGCAGGCATGCATGGGGAACCGAATGGGTAGGTAGGCAGGGCATGGGACCGACAGGTAGGCAAGCAAGGCATGGGGATCGATAGGTAGGCAGGCAGGAATGGGGTCGATAAAGCCAGGCAGGCAGCCAGGCAGGGCAGGCATGGGGACCGATAGGTAGGCAGGACAGGCATGGGGACGCGATAGGTAGGACAGGCCAGGCATGGGGACCGATGGTAGGGCAAGGCAGGCATGGGGACCGATAGGTAGGCAGGCAGCATGGGGACCGATAGGCAGGCAGGCAGGAATGGGGTCCGATAAGCAGGCAGGCAGGCAGGCAGGCAGGCAGGCAGGCATGGGACCGATAGGTAGGCAGGGCCAGGCATGGGACCGATAGGCAGGCAGGATGGGGTTCCGATTAAGCAGGCAGGCAGGCAGGCAGGCAGGCAGGCAGGCAGGCATGGGACCGATAGGTAGGCAGGCAGGCATGGGGACGATAGGTAAAGCAGGCAGGCATGGGGACCGTAGGCAGGCAGGCAGGAATGGGTCGATAAGCAGGGCAGGAGGCAGGGCAGGCAGGCATGGGGACCGATAGGTAGGCAGGCAGGCATGGGGAACCGATAGATAGGGCAAGGCAGGCAGGCAAGGCAGGCAGGCAGGCAGGCAGGCAGGATGGGGTCCGATAACGAGGCAGGCAGGCAAGGCATGGGGTCCGATAAGCAGGCAGGCAGGCATGCAATGGGTCCGATGGCGCAGGCAGGCAGGCAGGCAGGCAGGCAGGCATGGGGACCGATAGGAGGCAGCAGGCATGGGGACCGATAGGCAGGACAGGGGACCGATAGGCAGGAGGCATGCCTGGGACCGATAGGCAGGCCATGGGGACCGATAGATAGGAGTCAGTCAGGTCAGGCCAGGCAGGCAGGCATGGGGAACCGATGAAAGGCAGACATGGGGACAAGCAAGGACTAGTTGAACACGGCGGGGACATGCTGATGTGGGCGGGGAGACGTAGGCCACAATAGGCCTGGACGCGGTGGCGGGCAGGCAAGGAAACGGGGAGGGAATGTTAGTGTGGGCCGCGGGGGAGCGGGCGGGACGGGGGCGGCGTAGCTTGCTGAGCGTAGAGGGTCGGGGAGTAGCGGAGGTCGCGAGGCGCGGGGCGGCGGGAGGGGAGCGGGCGGAAGGGGAGGGGAGGGGAGGGGGCCCGCGTGATAAGCGGTGCCGCTGCGCGGCGCGCCTCCACCCAAACGCGCGCGTGCGAGCTGGCGGCGCGGGTGTCCCGCGCGTGTGCTTGCTTCCAGGCCCGACCGCGCCCCCGCCGCCGCCGCCTCGGTCGCCGCCAGCATGGCCAGCGTCAGCGGCTCCTCGCTCACCGTGGGCCGCGTGCCGCTGCTCTCCACGCTCGTCGACTGCCTGCTCGTCGTGCTGCGTGAGTACCCCAACCCTCACTTCGCTCGGGGAGCGTGGAAGCTACTAGTCATTAAAATAATCGCGTTTCTAATGTGGTGCCGTCAATTCAAGGTTGCTTTTTAGTCGTTGATAATGCACTAATTAAGCAATTGAAAAGAGATATTTGGGCATCTAAAGGACTAAAGTATCATGTCGTTAGGAAAGTACCGAAAGCTTGTAATAGTGTTTCGGGAAAGGGTTTGTTAATATTCTTCTGTCAAAAGTTCCTCTTGGACATTTTAGCTTTGCCCCAGAGAGTGATCTAAAGTATTTAAGGTGTACACGTAATGGGTATCAATCTGAATGTTGCAACCATGAAATTCTATGGTTTTGAGATGCCCGTTCATTTACATGCATTTAGATATTTGTCTTTCCATGGACCGGTGAAGCCAGGAGATTTTAAACATGTAAAGACAGTATGTGCCGGAGTATTCCGGTTCCATACGAATGGTTGTGTATGAATAACGAACATAAATAATTGTTATATAAATAAAACAGCCGAATGATTGACATACTAATTAATTACGCAAAGATGACTTCTCGAGAACGACTAATTAAGTTGTGTAGATCAGCTCAGCAAGAGGTTTCCCTGGAACAATTTGTTACAGTTATTAACTGAATCGTTTTGATGCCGAAAACGTTGAGGTTGTTCAGCAATTATGTACAACTGAAGCAGAAGAGGTTGCGTAGGTGCTCTTAAAGAATACTACAAACAATTAATTATGTATTTTCAAAAATATTTTTATGGAGTTTTTTAAACAAGAGTGTTGAATAATTTTGAAATTCGTAATATATCAATATTGATTCGCAGTGTCTCCAATGAAAATATAGATTTTGACATTCGTAATAGGAATATGAGAAGTGATTATTGTCTTCACTTCTGTCTTAACTGCAGTCCTTCGATGTCAGCTATGAAATTCAGTTGTGAATTTTTGAAAATTCAGCAGGTTACTCTAAATAGAACCAACGGGTTGACACAGTACATCGTTTTTATGATCGCATTGACACTGTATTCCTGGAGTATGGATCCTGGATTCCTGGAGTGTGGATCCTGGATTCCTGGATCGAGTGTACAGATTGAATTTCTGGATTCTTGTCTGGGCCCGAAAAAGATTGAGTGAAGTTTGATGTCTCTTTGGCTTTTTTCTTTCTCAAGACTTATTTATAATGTAACGAGATTGTAAGAAATCACATTTTAAGGAAGTGCCCAAATGTATCGATGAAATTCGATATGTTTATATTGAATATACATACCGAGTTTTTGTGTTCTATATTTAATTAACAAGTTATTTTGAGTAGCTATATTACCAAGTACAGTTCTTCGATAATAATTTATCAACAAATGAACAATACTGAAAAAATATGAAATATATCATAACAAGTTGATTTATTTAATATCTAAAAATATAGGGAGGAAATAGTACTTTTTGCATTTTCCTAATTCTTTGATCTGTTTCCTAAATTCAGTGCATGCTTAAAATGTAATGCACGTTTTCAGATATGATGCAAAACATTTAAAACTTCCATTTCTTCCCATATTTTCTTCGTATCATTCGGTCATCTGCAAGAAGTGAATCGTTTTGATGCCGAAAACGTTGAGGTTGATCAGCAATTATACGCATTACTTAATTTGGAGCAAGGGAAGGAACCTCGTGGTTTTGGGGACGGTTGACAAAGCGCGTTGGGAAAGTGGACCACACGACGCGGCGCGACATGGCACGGCCCCGGCGTGTGCCTGCGACCAGCATCAATGGCTGCTAACTGCCAAACGCCAATTAATCGCCAATTGATTTGACCGGGTCTCGCCAACGCCATCCATCCAGAACATTTTCATGGCCCCGATATACAAGACCGGATTGTTCATTAGGCACGCAAGTTTCTGCTTTCAACTGACTTTTTCTAGCAGGGAGTTTGAATTCCAAAGATTGTCACAAAATAAATTAGTTTATAACAAATGTTTTTTAACAAAATTCTACATAGACGTAAAGAACAGTACATTTTTCATGATCATTTCGGAGATCGGAGTCAGAAGTAAAATCGCAGCCGACCCTGTGTTGCCATCAGGGAAATTGAAGTGAAATCTCTGGAACTATAATATTACCATTGTTCAGAAAATTATAACATATGGCTTCTATCATAAAATGTATTAAGCAAAACATTGATCATAAGAAAGAAGTTTTGAATCAACACCTCCCGCCCCCATTTCCAGATAGAAACTAGGGGGTTGCTACAACTACGTAGTAAGTCGCTGTAACATCGTTGAACGCTTTACAATTCCTTGCTACTATGGTCCCAAAAATGTGAGAATGTGCCCGTGCCGATTAATAGTATCCACAGAAAGTAGTAAATCTTTCTACATTTTTGTCTTTATAGTCATTTTTTTTAATTTCTTGCGTAAGGGCCAAAAATTTACAATATTGTTTGTAATAAACGTATTTATAATAACGGCATAATTTTGTGTTGATTATGTATCTAAAAAGTGATCTTTTGAATAGGTACGAATCTAAAAGTATGCAGTTTCAATAATATTAAAAATACATTTATACAGAACACCGTCTTTTTTAGTTTTTTTGTCTTTCTTAGAAATTTCATGAATCGCTTCATTTTCGAGCATCACTTGCGTTATCCAACACTACTCTACGTTCAAGGTAATGTGTTTCTTCATGACTTTGCCGTGATAGCTTGTCAGTGGCGAAGCAGGAATCATATTGACGTTTCTGAGTAATCCGGTTGCGCCCTCACCGTCTGTTCGTCACGAAACACGGCATCGTAACTCACGCACAAAAAGCTTTTAAAAGGTGATCTCCCTTCACCCTTTTTCAAACGAAAACAAAAATCCACCAGGTCACGAAGCATCATTTTTCAGTTATAGTCTCTTAATGTTTCAATGTTGTGCATCTATTTCTTATCTTAACCGATCGTCTGTGTATGCTATTTACTTGGGTGATCGGAGAGGATTAATTGCCTCATTATTATACCTAATATAATAAAGCCTCCTGCGAAAGGAGTAATGGCACATTACTGTATTCCTCGAGGGGTACTGCCTAATGTAATGAAATGTCATTAATCAAACAGCCGTACAATTAAGAGAATGTGACTAAATGTTAAAAAGGCAATCAGATAAAGCATTACACGTGTCTCAATGATCAAAATATGCTCGTTTGTAATTCTATACTCGCGCTACCGCTTATGAATATTCAAATAATTTGCACATCATGGCTTTTGCTAGCTACTTTAAAGATAAATGACAATTATACACTGGTGTTACGTGACGATATCTCCGATCACTGACGTATATAACCTGTCAATTTTTACGTACCTGTAACAGCAATTAGTAAGTTCACATTAATTTCATTATAGTACGAGTATATAGTTTGTTCTGGTCGCCAACCAATTAATTGACCAATTTAATTGATAGCGTCTAGGAAGTTCAATTATGCGCAAAAACAATTTGAACACCACAAAAAACTGCATTATCTGATATCTTAAAAGAGTTTCTTACATGCACGTGACTTCATTATCTTTCAAGTCGCACCTCCACCACGCGTTGTCTTATCAGCGTCGAGTGCTGCCCTTGAAATAGGATTCGCAGCGATAATTCTCCGCGTACGCAGCTCGACTCCGAAATTGTTTCCCACCACGCTACGTACTACTTATATGAGTCAGGGGCCGATTGAGAAACTATTTCGGGGGAAGGGGAGTCAATATAACAATTCAGTCCTCCTCCATAAATATTTTTGAAATAAAAAAAAAACAATAAATGTGAGATTTAATTATAAGGAATGTGTGTGTAAAAGATTTAAAATTTTTGAAATATTTCAATAATTGTAATACTCTTAAGAGTTCTTTTACGGATTTACAATTTTTTAAGGTTTGATGCGTTTGATATATGGATTTTTAATATAAGGACGTTAATTATTTATAATGATAGTTTTTCGTGAGGTGAAGAGACGTCGGGAAATAAGATCATAAAAATAGATTAAAGCAATATGCAACATGCCAGGAGAATTAAGATTAAATACGTACCAATACTTCAAAATGCTATAAAAGTGATAAGATAGTAGAAAATACAGGTGGCATTTCTTTCTTTCGATGATTTGAAACAAGTAGATCAAATTTCAGTGAATGTCATTTTTATACTGCGAAGTTTTGATGGAATACCACTAGTTTTCCAGATTATTCTGATAGATATTTATTAAGACCACATAAAGAGTAAGCTGCGTTGATGAGCAAGAAATGAAAATAGGTGAATTGGTTAAACTATCTTGTCAATTATAGAGGCTAACTACTGTCCTTATCTTTTAGTAACCTTTCGTATGAAATTTCTGAAGGGTCAAAACACAAAGTTGATTGTCTTCACATTACACGATAACACGACAATATCCGTTTGTGATTACATGGCTCATACTTCTTATGTCCCAATAGGTTTGATTCATGACACATGAAAAATTAACCATTAGAAACCAATAATAGTTAATAACTTTCTAAACATATCGCAAGTCCTGCAAGTTTTTGAACTAAAAATTCAGAAGCGGCGGTGGGAAATGTCAAAATTTGGACCTTTTACGACTAAGGAAAGAAAATGTCGTAAATAGCTAATTTGGAATAACTTTCTTGGAAACTGAAGCTTTATCCCTCAAATTATTTGCACCAAATATAGATGTTTAATTTCTAATATAGGCATATTATTTACCATTAGAAAGTCAGGGTATTGCAACTTCGATCCAGGCACACTTGAGTATGAATAGCAGGAGCTAGTAGTTATGTAATTGTCTTTTAGAGTTCTTTTCATTTTACAGCGCAATTTATAACAAACACATAGGACACTTTTTAAATTTTTCCTTTTTCGTAGGTGTAATTACAGCTAAGTAAGCTTATCAAATTTTGTAGTTTGAGTGAATTTTTATTAAATCTTCTGGAATTTCGAAAATTGCAAAAGTTTTCCCTTTTGTGAATGCGTCCAGGAGTTTTCTGTCTTAA